CATGCTTACATGACCAAGCGTTGCACACTTGCAATTTCGCGGTTGATTCAATGTGTTGATGGATTATATTCATCGAACAACATTTATCAACATTAGGAGACAAGTTAAATAGACTCTATGGTTGCGGATTCATAGTAGAGTGTTGCATCTCACCTATCCTTACGAGAATCCAGGAGACTGTGCAAAAGCAGGTGTATCGGACCAGCTAAGATATCTAAGCTGCCAAGATTGCCATAAAGGGAAGATGGAGTGTTAGAAGTGAGGCTAGAAGGACATCCAGAATGCAAAAATGTGGTATGCCAATAGCGCCCCCGTAGCGACACAAAAGCATAGACACAACACAAATGATCAGAATAAAATGTACTCTGTCTTATGAGCTAAAGTTTATGCAAAGGATTTCAAGCAACGCGAATATCTACTGATCAGTGGCGTACCGAAGGGGGGGGGGGGGGGGGGGGAGGGCGCCCCCCCCCGAGAATGGGTTGCGAAATTTTTGAAAGTTACTTATATGGGTTATAAAAATGTGCAAGTGACTTGTTTATACTTGTAAATAATTAAAATAATTTTTTAATTTTTTTAAAAATTCAAATTAGCCTTGTAAAAAAAATTTTTTTCGGGGGCGTGGCTGAAGCCACCCCCCCTTTTTCCAGATTTTAGGGGTTGGGGACCCGCAAAAATTTTAAGAAGCACCCCTAAAATTTTTTCGGAGTGCGTGGCTAACGCCACGCATTCATTCGAAAAATTTTTTTGTCGCCTCCCCCCCCCCCCCCCGAGCGGAAATCTTGGGTACGCCACTGCTACTGTTAAATGCTAATCATAAATGTCTGCCCATAAACGACAATCTTTACCGTTTACAACATTAAGCAATCCGAACATCCGCACATAATATTGATTCACCAGACAATTCAGGTTGGTTACTGTATAATAATGCGAACCTGGTATGCGGTATAGTAAGGGTTGTTTTGCCTTCCAGCTCCTATGATTTCGCGCTACTACCGTCGACGACGTTAGACTAGCACTTATAGAGAGACATCCTGGCAGTGTACTGTTCAGATTGAACATGCAATCTACGTTTAGACGTTTTGAAGAAGACGAGCTCGCCGAGACGTCAATAGAGCGAACATCCATCAGGAAACGTGATTGGCAGGACAATCAATTACAGGCAACATACGGCATGCTCGATTCCAAACATAAAAGAGCTTCTAAATTAGAAACTTATCGACATCTTTGTCTATTTTGACAGTTGCGAATCGTATCGTTGCAAGCAATACTTTCATTACGGTAAAAATATCGAAGACCTCAAACAAGTCCAGTGTAAAGAATTTTGAGAGCCTCTCATCTGAAAATTTATCCATGACTAATCTGTTCTCTCCGGAGGTTCTGGTTTTTGAAAGGAGGTGTTTTTGCGACGATGTTTTATTTCAATTGCTTTTCTACACTTTTACTCTTGAATGCGAAACAAGTAAGAAGTAAAATTTCCAACAAACTTAGTGCACATTGTGACTATGTTGATACTACAAAAAACAAAAGTTGTAGAAAGAAAACGAAAATCTTTTGGAACAAAATTGAAACACCATTGTTTCTAAACTTTTTTGTTACGCTAGCAACAACCAACTCAATGTGTAGTCACAACCATGTACCAATGCAAGCGCAGCTGAAAAATGTTTGAATTGAACTAACCTACCATTATCTGGTGAGCTCTAAAGTCACAAAATTTTTTGCAAAAGTTAATACAAGGTGCACTGCTCCTACATTTGCACAAATGATCTTTTGACGATCGCTTCGATTAACATGTTTTTTGGTCATAGAATTTCCGCAGCGCTTCATATTCGAACCTCAAATTCTAGGTGCACGCCAAGATGAAGGATAGCTGCAAATAAGCACATTGTACTTCTGTGGTCGTCAGTATGTATATAGTCGTCCTTCTTGTAGCAATAAAATTTTCGCTGAATTGAAAATGGTATTGAAGTGAATTAGGGCCCATTGAGCTCCCAGCGTTTTTTCCAAATATGAACATCATCAGCCGCTCTCTGCCGCCATGCGGCAGGGCCTGCTGGTAGCTGCCTCGTATATTTTTCGTTCCATTCTATTTTGTGCAAATGTGATTTGCTAGTGAATTTGTTAGTTTGTACGAAACACTTCGGTTTAACCTCTGTAGGTCGATGATGATTGAGGACACAATTTCGGCCTCTCAAGTGAATTTGAGTTGATATTCTAAGCAACAGACAATGCGCAGTCAACAGCATAAAAGCGGATGTCATGCTGGAAGTGAATGACGGTATTAAGGTGTTGCAACTAAGCATTCGAAGGAGGTACAATATGTGAGAATGGCGTCTTAGCATGAATGACAGATGGGGGGGGGGTGAGGGTGTTGATTGTCATTGTTGATATGTGATCATGTTTGACCTTGTGGATGAGTGACATTTCTGATTTCGTCGATGAAGTTAGCTGGTCGATGAATCCCGCTGAGAAAGGGATCAATGCGTAGTCAAGTATCAGTCACGAGAATGTTAGATACAAAAATTAACGGATAGATAGAGGAAGTCAATAACTGAAGTAATTAATATTACAACACCACTCTCAGATTGTGCAAAATTTCCGGGAATTCCGCGGAATGGGAATTCCGCGAGAGTCCGCGACATTCCCGGAATTTCGCAAAATTTCGGGAATTCCGCGAAATTCCAGGAATTTCGCGAAATCAAGGCGAATCACGCAAAATACGCAGCGCCATAACTTCCTTCTAAATGAGTATATTCTGAATCCGGAAGAAATATTGTGGTCAAGGCGAATCTTTCTATATGCAGCATGTCCTCGACATTCCGTTTCCAGTTTTATCAAATTCTTTTAGATCCTTTCACAAGAATGTAACGCAGCGCCTATCCAACGTAAAAGATGCCTGTAAGTAGTATTCGATAGTAATCCTCCTGTAGATTACGGAGCGCTAAAAAGTAGCCGCAGACTTCTTTTCAAAAGAGATAAAAGCGCTGGTGAATTCTGGAAACCCACGTGTTTCTATATTCTACTCACAGTAATGTCCTTTGGAATAAACATACTCCGCATCAAAAAGAAGAGTTGTGCTCAGCTTTTTAGGACGAATCTTTCCATATAAAGCATGTCCTTGAAATTTTAATTCCATTATTCTGCAGTCTTTCTGCGGACGGCACTTCGCAGAGGTGTAAAGCAGCGTGCATTGCCCCGTAGATTCAAGCAAGAAGACTTCGATAGTACTTCTTCTGTAGATTATGGAGCGCCAAAGAGTAGCCGCAGACTTCTTTCCAAAGGAGATAAAAGGGCTGATGAATTCTGGAAAAACCATGTCGTTCTGAATTTTACTCACGTAGCCCTAAAATATGAAGCTCTCCTCCTGAGCGGTTGTGATTTTCGTAATCAGCAAATCGGATAACCTCTATGAGCAAGTTTTCAGAGATGTTCGGCTTATTTCATTTTTTTCTTTTTTTACGCTCTAAAGCTCGCCGGTGGATTTTGGTCAAAATGTTGATGCTTCGATTGTAAGGAAACTTCGCTCATAGAGGTCGGACACGCTGTTTACGAAAATCATGGTTTTTGGGAAATAAAGGGTCATTTTGCAGAGATATGGTGAGGTAACTGTAACTGAGTCACGAACATTTGTAAATTCGCCTGCGCTTCTCGCGTATCTTTCAGAAAACTTGACTGCTTACTTTTATGTGCTTGAGTTAATAGGAACCGTGCTATTGAACAGTACTTGTCTAAGGCTCCAGTCTATGAAAATCGCCGAGTTACGAGCCTACGAGAACACGTCCTCATGAATTTTGCCCAGAATGTAATGATAGCATACTTCGTCGAGATTCCACCGCGAGTAGTTGTACAACACGATGATTAAATCTTTTCACATCACTTAATGGATCTTTCTATACTGGATTTGATGGTTGATCTGAGCTATTACGAAACTGCTTTGACATAAGCAGCACACGCAACCGCCATATTCAGTAAGCGGGATCCCTTGGGCGAAATGAACATAATGTTGATATATAACATAATGTTTGCAACCAGAAAGTCGTAGAAAACTCACGGTGGAATTTCGACGAAGTATGCGATCTTTACATTCTGAGCAAAATTCATGAGGACGTGTTTCCGTAGGCTCGTACTCCGGCGATTTTCATAGACTGGAGCCTGAGACAAGTACTGTTCAGTAGCACGGTTCCTAATAACTTTAGCACATAAAAGCAAGCAGTCAAGTTTACTGAAAGATAAGAGAAGTGCAGGCGATACGAATTTTCCTCATTTACACTTACCTCACCATATCTCTGCAAAAAGACCCTTTATTCCCCAAAGACCATGACTTTCGTTAACAGCGTGTCCGAAAACCTCTATAAGCAAAGTTTCCTTACAATCGAAGCATCAACATTTTGACCAAAATCCACCGGCGAGCTTTAGAGCGTAAAAAGAGAAAAAAATGAAATAAGCCGAACATCTCTGAAAACTTGCTCGTAGAGGTTATCCGACCTGCTGATTACAAAAATCACAACCGCTCAGGAGGAGAGCTTCATATTTTAGGGTTGTGGTGAGTAAAATTCAGAACGACATGGTTCTTCCAGAATTCATCAGCCCTTTTATTTCCTTTGGAAAGAAGTCTGCGGCTACTCTTTAGCGCTCCATAATCTACAGAGGAAGTACTACCGAAATCTTCTTGCTTGAATCTACGGGGCAATGAGCGCTGCTTTACACCTTTGCGAAATGCCGTCCGCAGAAAGACTGCAGAATAATGGGATTGAAATTTTAAGAACATGCTTTATATGGAAAGATTCGTCTTGAAAAGCTGAGCAGAATGCTTCCTTCCCATGCAGAAAATGTTTATTCCAAAGGACGTTATGGCGAGTAGAATACACATTCTGAGAGTAGTATTGTATATGCATCTCTATTTGCTAACTCGTTCTTGCACCACTTCCTAGATGTGTTATGCTTTAAAATTATGTTACCGTTTCCTCATCCCACACACCTCTGCGAAAAATATGCACCAATTACTTGAAATGTTTATTTCATAATGAAAATTATGATTGTATTACCAAATTCAAAATACTCATCACAGCCCAGCTAAGCAGGTGAGTTTAACAAGCAGATTGTTTGATTTCTCTACTCCTCCACCCGTACACCTGGAAGACACAAGAGCCACATTCAAAGAGAGCGGTTGTTGTACACGAAATCCCTACTGGCACTGATATCCTCCGCTGCAAATCCCGCCGTCCGCCTCCACGCACTCTCCCGATTCTCGTCCCAAGCAATATCGGCAACGATCTTCACAGTCTTTCCAGAGCACACCAGTGAAGATCTGTAAAATAGCCTTGGAATGGCCAAGGAATGAGAATGACTAACCTCTGTTGCTGGAGTGCAGCGACTCCAATCCTTGTAGCACTTGTAGATTTCTTTGAAAGGATTAGAGCATACGAATTGCGCAGTAGACAGAATCAGCAGAATGGTCAGAAAGGTTTGCATTTTGAGCCTGATCATGGTAGGCCAACTGCATATTTATAGTCTACTCGTAAGAACATCGTCTCAAATGGATATTTTTGTAGAGAAGTTATTCATACGATTGTTAATCATGTCTGAATCCGGAAAGTGTGTCTTACGACAAAGTTTGCGACATAAGGCAAATGTCAAGCATATTCATGCCCTGCTCAATATTCCGTTTTTAACGAGTTTGCACAGTAATCGTTTCGGCGAATAATGAATCCTGAGAACTTGCCATTTACAGGAAGGGAGCATGTTTTTGTAGCAATGAATTGGTAATGAATCATAAGTCGCTCCAACCCTGGCTGACTCATGGCCGCGAATAGGAATTACAAATCATCGGATTTTTACTATGTATTCAAAGGGTGCCAGTAGATGTCCCATTTTGCACAGGTATTACCACTCTTGTATGTCAACACTTCAAAAGAACTCATCCATCTAAGCCTTAATACTGGAATTCTTGAGTTGTGCAAACTCAATACCCGTCTTTCGAGCCACACATCTTGATTGCTGCGACAAACTCCGTTTGAAACCTTCCATTGCCGGGCATTTGAACTATGAGAATTCCGAGAGAACTAGCGCTTCTCAAGGCATTCGGTAGCCACGCCTCAAAGGTTGCTCACGCTTAGACTATTTTTAGAGTTCCTCGTGCCATCGCTGTCGATAGGTCAACAGAGACACTCCACGTGGACATTGGCACGGGGCTAGCACGACGCTGGTATGGCACGGGCAATATGGGTGCAACCTTGCAGCAAATGGTACGCCTCTAGATCTCAGAATAAGGCATGTGATTTTTATGAAGCTTTGAAGGTGTTTCTTCAATGAAACTTGTTTCAATATTCATCTAGAGCAGTTGACACTAAATAGACACCGTACCTTTCTAGCAGTCGCGGCAAGGTATGCCTAGACTCGTATTTTACACCAGTATGCATGACCTCGTGAGAAAAATAGTCCGCTAACAATTTTGAAAACGAAAGCTTTGGTGAAGGTTGCTAAAGAATGTAACGACTATCATCTTCAGCTATGGAAAGCAAATGACGTTTCATTGCGAATCTCAGTTTCCAAACTCTTGATACTTTGAGATCTTTAAGTGACACAAAAACAAGGTAGTAGCTTTTTCATGAGACCCATTTGCTTTCATGAGTAATGGAACCAGATAATCTAAGAAATTTCAACTCTCTTAGACCGCGTTCTATAGTAGAAGTAAGCAGCGATCATTATGTAGGGTGTATCAAACGTTTAATCTAACAACTCTTTTGTATAGAAAGCTCTCGCAATCTTCTAAACACTATATCGTGAAACCGGCTTAACTTCCATTTACAGTATGCAGCGAGTCACCGATCGGTTTTTCATCATCGTATGATTACGGTAGGAAATTCCAGAAACAGGCCATAATAATTTAGCCGTTTGAAGCAAGATTTTCAGGCATGTTGGTTTCACTACCTAATTTTCTACGAGTCTGTGCAGCATCTGATATGTAATCACATTTTCACTAACTTGTGAGGAAATGTCACAGTAACCATTGATTCAAAAGGCTTGGCGGCTGGAAGGCGAGGCTTTGTGACCTAATTGAAGGCAGCGTCCAGGCAAATCCGGACATGTGGGGCCCTCACGTAGATTTTAATTTTGGGGCCTTAACACGTTTCGGACCGCGAAATCGCGCGCGGCGAAAAATAGTGCACTTTCGGCCTTAGCCAGCAAAGGAACCTTATTTCGCATACTGTGGACTACATTTGTAATAGCATGCCAGATAAGCTCCATACCCCAAGTTTTGAGTGATTTCGAAGCGTTTGAATTTTGTCGCTTGAGAGGGACTTTTGTGCTTTCCTGAAAGATAGGAGCAAGAACTCAGTTTCAAATAGTATCTAAAAGTATCTATGTTGTACACTGCACTCGTCACTATTGAAACTACGGTTTATCTCTTTAGAATCGGAGCAATGAAAAGTTGCGACGTCGCACGCGTCGTTCGCGTTGCCGCACTTCGTTGCAACTGTTGTTCGATTTGTCCTTATATCTCGTAAACAAATATCGGCGGCACAGCTCTACAGAGCCATTTAAAAAGTAGGGGCTTAGACCTTTGACTCAATAACTTCGGACTTGAAGAAAACCTCCTGCAAACGTCAGAAAGAACCTTCAAAGCAGCGTGCTGCACCATGTGCAGCACCGGTCCGACACGTGTTAAGTAAGCCATTGTCCAAGCGGCAGCTCAGGTAGTGCTCTAACAGCTGATATATTTTGCCTCGAAACTGGACCCCGAGATCGTATTTGCATGGATTCATGGCAGTTTCGCGCCAGGATCCACGCGCTGCGCCATGAATCCATGCGAAGTACGATCCTGGGAACCAGTTTTGAGGCGTATATCTCAGCCGTTAGTGCACTATCCGAGCTGTCGGTTAGGCAGTGGCTTAGTTAGAGCCTCAAAAATACTATCCACGTGAGAGCTCCATAGCCCAGATTTGCCTGGACGCATGTAAAAGGCATGTAGATTTGGGACAATCATAAATAGTCTCAACGAATTAAATCAGCCTTATTCAAAGGCAGTTGCTCGGCAAAACCGAACGTGTTGAAATTTTTATAATGTAGGTTGCCTACCTTCTGTATATAAGAACAGGCCAAGTCCGAGAGCGCCGCATCTTCACCCGCCGACATAAATGCCCTCAGATCTGTGCGCACAAGCCATTCTCACTATACTTTGGACCGAATCGAATAAATATTCGAGTATTCGAATAAAGTATTCGAATAAAATTTATTCGAAATTCGATTATTCGAAAAATTCAAAATCTCGAATATATTCGATATTCGCTTATTCGAAAATTGTCATTTTCGAATTTATTCGATTATTCGGTTATTCGAAAATTTTGTTTTTCGAATATATTCGAACATTCGAATATTTAATTTCGGAAGTTATTCGATTATTCGACATTTTCATGTAATCGAATAACTATATGCTCTATTTGCTGGTGTCCTCTTGTGTCTTTCCCCCTTCCAATTGTGTTTCCTCGCATTTACACGCCATTCCTAAGTCGGTCTCGCCACGACCACCCTGTTTCCGCGTGACTGACTGTAGGTTGAATGTGATTGCGTAATCTGCGCTGTTGCCAACTCGCTATGTCTGTGATTTGCTGGAGTTCTCCACGTTTTCGACCGTTTGCAGGTTTTCTCTCTATTTTCATTTTGTTCTTAGTCCTCTATCCCTCTTCCTCTGGCAGCAGGAGTTTTGAAGAGCGGGTTGGAGGAAGAACGCAATATGCGGCCATTCCGTGCGATCGGTTTGACGGTAGTTTGTGAGCCAATCCATTCTGTGATCATTATTTTCGCCCACAAATCAAATGTTCCCTATATTCTCTGCGCATTTTCACAACCCCAGTCCTTCGGAAGGCATGGTGACACTTGTCAAGAAGCGGAGATTGAGATTGTTTACTGAGAAGTTCTGTTTTGAGGGCGTTTTCAGCTTTTTTCCTTTCTCCACTAAAGCGTAGCCGTTCTTTCTCCAACCCGCTCTTACCCTTTTGTTGATAAGAGCTTTGAACATGGAGCGGGTTGAAGAATGAACCCTTTTTGCTTCATATACCACTCGGAAAATGTCGAGTCGTTGTTTGTACGGACCGGCCGTAAATTACGTAACACGCGCCCGCGGCCAATCGCTTGTATTGATACAAGTCGCTATTGCACATATTGTGCTCTCATGACATCACAGCCGCGGCGCGCGTAGTCTGCAATGTGCGGCCAGTCCGTGCGGTCGGTCATTTCGAGAACACTTTTGATGCTGTCCAATTTGAGCGCAGTATTTTACCAGACCATCTTATTTTCTCCTCATTCTCAAACACCTTCGTGTAGTTGTAGGATTTAAGGACATTGTAGGATCTATACTTAACAACCTTCCGCTCTTGAAGCTATGTTTTTTAGCCTCTACTATGGTCGGGAAACCACTTGATTCCATTGAAAGTGTAGATCTGGTAACTCAAATATTTCCTTTCTGTTATTTCCGCTTTTGCTCAACTGCGGCCAAATGGTTTTTGCTCGATGTTTGTTTTTTGCCAAGGTGAAAGGTCTTTCGCAATTCTGACCACGCTGTGTTCAGTTTTGCTCAACAATACAAATCTGCCGGCTGGCATTGCATCAACCTCAGCAACTTTTGAAGAAGCAAAGCACAGGTAAAACTGTTATTCCTATTGTATTCTTATCTTTTTATTACTTTTCTATCATTTAATTTATTCTGCAAGGGTGCACATCTGACACCACTTGACCCAAAAGTCAGTACAATGTCAGCGTTGTGTTAGCGTCGTGCTGGCACAATGCTGTTCGGGGTTTTGAAGGGTACTTCGGTCAGAGCGTATTTTACGTGGCTTGCGCCGTCTTCTATGCCTATTTTGTCCCTACTACATCACATGCTGCTTTAGGGCTTTGGTGAGCGTAGCAGAGGTCTGATGGAGCCTGATTGTTCCGAGGAAATTGAAATGTTAGCTTTTTATCATTTTACCTTACTTATTCTAATTGTTTCATTGTGTTTAGGTGTGACCTTCACGATGATGACGACTCGTCTGCTATAGCGACCACCTCAAATGAACACAGGTACAAACATTTTAGCTACCGGATAGTAGTAGGCTATGCTGTTCTGAATTTCAACGTTTGCATTTGCAGATCTGTAGATGCCGTTGCGCGACCACATAGGCGAACCACTCCGGTGAGTACTTTTATCCTTTCTAATAATCTTATTGAATGTAGTGGGCATCTGCTCGCACGCGGCTTCAAGAAACCAATGCAGCCGCATTGCCGTGCTGTGCTCACATTGCGCTGCAATGTAAGAACAGCACAATGTGTAGATGACTGCTGAAGCATACAGATAAGTAAAAAGAACTCGAAAAGTGCCGGTTTTTTGCTCTGAATGATTGGCCACTTTCAATTTTGTTTCACATTGCGATTTTGTCAAATTGAGCCAGACAGATACAGTATATTGTCGTAGAGTTATTCTGTCTCCTGCAAACGCGCATACTCTACAACCACACGAGTTCATATAACGTTGTTCATTGGGCGCAATTTCTGAAATTTAATACTTCTACAGAAACTTTGTCCATTTTACTTCTCTAAACATTAAAAGCGTTCAGTGAAAGTTTTTATGTATGGAAACGCGACATCCAAGACATCACGGCAGTTGGTTAGTTAGTGAACTCGCACGGTTGCACTGCGTATTTCTGAGCTGTTGGACACAAGCTTTTGTAATGACTTTTCTCCTTGCATCTTTTCATAGATGAACTACTGTACCAGTGGTTTGCTGACTGCGTTTTTGATTGCTGACTCAATTGAAACGGAGTTACTTTCTTTTCTTTTGGTACTATGATTCTGGTAACTGGGACAAGAGTTTCACCGTACTTCGCTTGCTCGCAACGACGGATCTGCGCGGTTGATTCGCTTATAACTTGGTTACTAGAGTTGTAGATTTTGCAAGTTCTGAACAAAAATGAAAGAAGAGTGGTTATATGTCACCATAAATATCTCAAGTATAAACTCAACAAGATAATTTTCAGATGAGCTCAGTCTGGAACTTCCTTAAGAAAGCAGTTGATGTGGAATGCAACGCAGAAACTGCTGTTTGCAATTTCTGCGGTAAATCACTTTTCATCCCAAAAACGAGGACAACATCAAACCTACTGCATCACCTTAGAAGCAAACACAAGGCGGAAGTGGAGAAGTTTGAGCAACGAGCGAGTCTGAACAAAAACGAACGCGAGAAACAACCTAAAATTGAGACGTGTTTAAAAGGAAAATTGGCAAAGCTGCAAAAGAGGATATCGATCGAAAGCTGGTAGTTTTTCTTGCAAAAGCATCTCTTCCGCTACACGTCACTCAGTTGCCATCCTTCGCGGAACTTTTGCGATCACTTCACCCGTCCTATGCCACGCCAAGCACAAAAACATTGTTAAAGCTGATGCAAAAAGAAGTTGATGCCATTGATGACGACAACAGAAGAGTGTTTTCTGAGGATGCACAGATTGCAATCACAGTCGATGAATGGTCGTCAAAAAATGCATCATGTTCATTGCTTGCGATTACCGGTCATGCCCTGGGAGGGGACTTTTCGGAAAGAATCAACGTGGTGTTGGACTGTGCTCCGCTTGAGGAGGATAGGTATACTATCTTTGGGCGGTTTAGGATTCGCGATTACTTGCTATGTTCAGCCACACGAGCGAGCTGGTAGAATCGAAAATATTGGAGAGCTTGTCTAGACTCGGAATTGCCAAAGAGCGAGTGTCATTCATGATTGCTGATGGAGCATCGGTTATGGTGAAAACAGCATCCGACCTAGGCATACAATAGTAAGCGGCGCCCTGCTTCCCTTTCTCATCTTTAACCTCCCATGATTCAGCATCCACTGTTGTGCTCACGTCATTAATTTATCCGTGGCGGCTGCCCTTAATCTTCCAATGTGCGCGCATGTTCTGAAGAAAGTGAAGCACGTGGTGTCCAAGCTAAATAAGAGCGGAAAGTTGAAGAAAATGTTTAGACGGTAGTTTCTCTGAATATTTCTCGTTGTCTTCAGAGCATTTCCCCTCAGGTTTCTGAACGAAGAAAACCTCCCGAATGTTGTGCCAATGAATGATGCTCCAACTAGATGGTCCAGTACATACTTCATGCTATGTGACTTCCTAGCCGCAGTCAGTGAATGTTGGTAGCATTGCTTCCTCCAGCCAGTTGATTTTTTTTGAAGATGCCGGTAGTTGAAAGATTGCTGTCAACTTGTGACATGCTGCCGTTTGAGGATGGGGAAATACGGATACTAAAGGCAATGAGAGTATTCTTACAGCCGTTTCAGGCTATGACTAACCAGGTAGCAACAAAGCGTTTTCTTTTTGAGATCAGTCTAATTTCTGCAATGTAGGTGTGCTATCAAACGTCTTGCTGTTCAATGTTCATTCCAGTAGGAAAACTTTTGATCGCGAAGACTGAAGAGTGGGTCATCATTTTCTCGTGTTCCATCGGGTAACAACCATGGCACTTCAGGAATCTAGCAGCTGCTCGAAGTGAAGGACTGCAGTGGCGAGAAATTGTTGGGTAGCACAAAGGAATACTTCGCAAAATTTTTCATCAGTCAGCCACTGCGTTTTGCCGCGTTATGCGACCCTAGATTTGCGTTTTTGGATACCGTATTGAACAGGGATGAATGGCGAGAAACTGCTGACCACTTCTTGGCGTGTAAAAGTGAGTTGCAAACACTACACTTGCAACTTTATGAAAAATGCCTAGGTTTAGGCAATACTCTTGACTCAGCGGACTCCGATGACGAAAGTTATGAAAGGTCTTCTACCTCCAAAGGATCGGATATGTGGTCTTTGATCACAACACAAAGTACTACCAGCACCCCCTCAAGAAGCTCACAGATGCAACAGGAAGATCTTCAGGTACTGAGATACTGCTCAATATCACTCTAATACTTGAAGTTTAGATGGAGTTGCAGCAGTACACTATACATCTGAATCGAGGAGACGCACGACCAAGTCCTGATGCAGACCCAGTTCAGTGGTGGCGCTCTCACAAAACTCAGTTCCCCCTATTGGCATCATCAGCAGCTGAATACCTCGTCGCGCCTTGTACATCCGTAGACAGCGAAAGGCTGTTTAGGTACTTTAGGTTTTGATGTTTTATGTACATTCAATGATAATGAGTTCTAGCACTGCTGGCATTATCTATGGCAATAAAAGGAGAGGGCGACTCACAGCAAAACACGCAAGGCTTTTTTTGATGATCAACGCTAATTCGAATAAGGAAACCAGTAGGTGAGATAGTTTCTTCAACTTATAAAATGTGTTGAACTTGTAAAAATTGAACTATTTAGGTCATGCAAAGCTTGGACACAAAAGGAAGTCCTTCGTTATGGATGCAACTACGAGTCGAATGCAGCTCATAGTACATCGGAGGAATCATACTCTGATGACTCGGAAGAACTGGAGGAAGAGGACCCATATGTTTTTGATACGCAATAATTGTTTCTTTGTTGTTTGATTCTGTTTGCCCAAGTTGCCAGTAAGTAAAATTTGTGAAGTTCTTTACATGGAATTTATTGGAGTGAATCTTCGTGAAGGAACTACTCAGTAAGGGCATCCAAAAGTACGCGAGTTTATCATTAAGTTTTGAGAGCTTGAACCTGTCTGTCTTTCACTCTTGGAGAACTCCTTTTCGAGTTTGAAAGAAGGTCCCAGTATGTAAACGTCCAGAAAAGAACAACATTGTTTGGACTCGACTTCGAAGCTAAAGTTCGTGCACAAGTTTGAGTGGGCATGCTGCTGAGAAATTGGGTGTTGGAAAAAGGTAGTACTAACTACACCAACAATCGCGCTCTTAATTTTGATGTTTTTGCAGCCTTTGATCGAAACTAGGTGTTGAAAGTAGGTGTGAATGAGCCCCTTGTCTTTAATGGTTTGCGCACTTAAGAGTGGAGGCAGAAGATTGGTGTTCACAGTGGATTAGATTGTTGACTTCTTTAGTCTTATGAGGTAGTAGACCGAGCAGACCCGGATCTGTCAACAGTTCAGAATTATGCATTACATTTTGAATATATCAGCTTGCTTGTTTTTTGAGTTGTATACTACTGGGAGTCTTTTTTTTGTACTATTCGACTAGATTTGTTTGAATATTCGACATAGTTTATACAAAGTATTCGTTTATTCGAGACTTTTTTTCGAATATATTCGAATATTCGAAATTTTTCCATTCCGAATTTATTCGATATTCGATTATTCGACATTTTTTCATCTCGAAAATATTCGATATTCGATTATTCGACATTTTTGATTTTGAAAAATATTCGATATTCGAATATTCGACATTTTTTATTTTCGAAAATATTCGAAATTCGTTTATTCGATATTTCTGATTTTCGAATATATTCGATTATTCGATTATTCGAGAAAAATTTCGAATATTTCAAAGTATAATTCTCACACGCGTTCATTCACGCGTTCGCGTTCAGCTCGCGATTTCCCTCCCGCCGCCGGAGACGGCATGCCGCGGACTCAGCTGTCTCATTCGTCAGAATCAATATGGAGGGAGAATGCTATTTTCCACCAATTTCGCGCATTCTGAAGTGATTCTTGGGCACAGCGCATCGGATAACCCCAGGTAAGCAAGAATTTTCTAGGTCAAGGATTTGCCGAGCCACTGCCTTCAAGGATTTCAGGTTCTTTTGTTTGTTTTTCCAAGCAAAAGAAGGTTTGTAAAGGCTCCAAACTCCCTACAAGTTTCCGTGGTAATACGGTAATGAATAGCGATCCGTGCTTCACTCCATACTGCAAATCCAAGTTGAGGCCACCTCTAAAAAACAGTTTCTGAAGACGCTCTATACTATACGTAGGAGCCCAGCCGATTGTCATGCCAAACTTGTGCCTTCTTAGCATTCTAAATAGGAGGATCACATTTCTCCCCTCATGTGACCTTATTCATGAACGAATGTGAGTCTCAAGACACGACCTACTTGGCTGTTCGGTAGTCAACATAGTACCTCAAGATTAGATCAACTTTGCCAAAATGATGTAAACTAATCTTTATTTGTAGCAGGTTTTGACGTCTTAACCACGTACGAATTTTTGTTGCTAGTAAAACTTTTGCAAAAAATGAATCATGTAATCTGTAGCTTCACAGGGTCACATTAACAAAAAGCTGGTTAAGAGACCCTGGGAAAAATTTGTTGTCCATTCATGTTTTATACAGATGTGCAGTGGCGCTCCTCTTAATTGAAAGCCCTGAACTGCTATTTTTTAGAGGAAAATATCCTGTTTACATTGAAAACGGAGTGGGTGCTTATCTAACCTTTAATTCAACTGGCTTGGCGTCTGGGAGGCGAGGCTTTGTGACCTATTTAAGGCCGTTCGCGCCCACGACGTGCTTGCATCTCTCTCGCGCGCATGATCTCTGATCACCACTTAACCCCAACTAGGTCACGAAGCCCCGCCTTCCACGCGCCAATCCAGTTGAATCAAAGGGTGCGAGGAATGTACTTTCAATAGTGGCCGTTTCTGTCTAGACTCTATACCTTTGCATAATGTAAAACGCATAAAACGTCGATTCCAAATCTCTCCTCGGTATTGCGCTTCTGGACGCCGTTCACGAGTGATTTCCGGTGTGAAAAATGAACGTACGCTCTGGATAAAATCAGTCGTTACGGTCCCTCGAGGCTTGATTAGCGAGCGTGGCGGTACTAAACACAAAGTACCCATTTTTGATCAATTCACGCTAAATTTTCCGACCCAAAAACTTCGTAATTGGGCGCACAACAGATAGCGAAGACAGATTTCGAATCAGCGTTTAATTCTCAACACTATAGATCTCGTTCAATTCACAACACTATAGATCGCATCTGGAAAGGCCATTTCGAATAAAAACACTTTTCTTGTTAGTTTTTACATCTGCTATGATATTATGTTTTCTTACCTAAGGAGTGATAGAGTAGAACAAGAGTGGCGTGGCGATCCCAATTTTCGTGGAGAGGGGGAGGGGTGCTGATAAATGTTTTTTAGAGATTGTCCCATGAAATTTTTAGGGGACCCATAACTCCGGAATTTGAAAAAAGGAGAGTGTGGCAGCAACCACAAAACTTTTTTTACAGCTTTCAGATATTTTCAATCAGTTACAGATATGAACAAGTCGCTTACACATTTTTATACCCTACTTTCAACGATTTCGCGACCCATTCTGGTGGGGGGAGGAGGGGGGGGGGGGTTGAAAGTTACCATGAGCTATAAAAATGTGCCTCTTGATACGCCGCTGCTAGCAGTGATAGAGCAAAACAGATGTCGGGTATGCGTGAAAGCATTGTGATTTTGGTGTAAATAATTGATTACATTGTGATTTTTAATTGTCAAGTTGGAAATTTATGATCGAACAATTATTTTTCGTTTAGGAAGCGGCTGAACATCATCTGAAGGTAAGCTTTCTTTGTTGATCAGCTAACAAGCTCGTTATTGTAAACGTGCAACGATGCATTATAAACCTTTCTTGCACAAGTTTTTTTTTCTAAGGAGTAACTAAGGAATCACATTTCCAATAGAAAAGGTGTATACAAAACTGCTGGCTTCTATTTTTCTGCAAAAGAAGACACCAAGCTGATCAAACCCCAAAGTTCCTCAAAATACAGTCGGAAGTTTACCAAAATATAGATAAGCCAATGTTTCTTTAGTGATAACGCATATGATTTGATAGGTCGTTGGTTTCTATGACGTATTAGTGGAGCAGAGATGGAGCATCTAAAACAGTTTCAAGCATATGTTCTTCGAAAACAAAGGTAATGCACTGCAATCCATAATGAAATTTTCTAAACAGTAAACATGCTGATAACAGATGCATGGCTATAAGAAGGCGCTCAAAATGGTTCGTTCAGGCTCTCTCAAAAGCTTACAATGCAACGTTTCCTGGTTCTAGCTCTGCTCTTGTGCACAGTTTGGCTGGCTACAAGTTCACACTGCTACCAAAAGTCGAGTCGCTGTGTACCGGATTCAAATGTAAGTTAGGTATTCTAAAAGTAAAGAGCAAAAAAGTTTCCAAATGTTTTAGTTGTTGGGCCGACTATGGAAATCTTGCCCGGATTACTGCGCAAAATGTCAAGGAAAGGGTCTGGGAACATGCGAAAAAGTCTACACTAAGGATTGTGTTGGATACCAATGCCAGTGAGTAACATTTTGGTTATGTTAGTCATACCTGCAATTTTGCTTTTCTTTCAGCTGCGAAGGCGAGGATGTTCCAAAATCAACAAATCCCTTGGACATGGCTACATGTAAACTGGGATTGTAATGAAAAGGATGCTGTGTGGCGTGTACATATGTAAAGTCTACGATGTTTTATTAAATCGCATAAATGACAATATGCAATAAAAAATATGATAAGAATGTGAAAAACCTATGTCAGCATCTAGTCCTTAGAGTTATGTGATTGAGACAAAAGCCCTTTGCGCTTACATACATTTGAAAGCGTCACTGGCTATCACTTGACTACTTCTTGCATGTAGCAATACGAATAAAGCAAGAGGCAGCAAACAAAAAGTAAACACCTGACTCAACCCAGTGTTAATGTAGTACTCTAACTGCGAAGTAACTACAACTTTCGTACCTGAAAGGCCAGAGATCAAAGTCAGTGTTCGGGTAAGAAGCGATTTTGAGGTTTTGTGCTTGCCTGGCCTATATGCTGAATCCGAAAATTCACGCTGAAGAGCGCGAAAAGCGAAAAAGGGCTCCACGGCAAGAGGGGGGGGGGATGTTTCCACTTTGTAAATCGCTCTCCCAGCTTCTGGAGCAATTTTTTGGTTCTGATATGTGATCTTTCGCACTTGGTTGATGGCGATGTTAGAGCGGCTAGCGGAAGCGAGAAGATAGCTCCTGTAGCTGGGACAGTGGCCCGTAGTAAAGCTCGATAAGTTCAGGTAAACTGAACTTAACCCATCAATTCACCTTAGGTGAGGTGAACTGATGACCGCCCGCCTTCCCATGCTATGAGCATGGCGAGTGAACTGATAGTTGACCATCTGTCCACCTGCTGCAGTCAACTCGTGCACATCAGTTCACGTTCAGTTGAACTGAACGTGAATTGATGTTAGAGTCATGCAAATAGTGTGTAAAGAGACGCAGACAAGACTCCCGTAAGTTGCTCATGAGAACTTACGATACACATCAGTTAGGCTAAAAATGCAGACAAAATCTGCGCAAAACTGCACAATACCGCGACCCGAAAAGGAGGGGATCGATGAACAGCTGATTTTGGCGAGGAAGACAAGAAAACCTTTTTCTCTTTTTTGTAGAGTTCACTGACTTTTTCTTTGGCTCAAGGCAAGAATTTCTAGATTTATTTCATTGTATTCATGTTGCAGTTATTCCAATTTTCCATGAAATTTTCGTCAAAAAATGCATTTTTGTTTCATCCATGCATTTTCTAGGCGAAATCCTTGATAACGGTCATCATCGATTTTCCGATAGTGGTCGCTATCAAAGACGCCCTGCGGTACAGCAAAAGCGGGGGCTAGCCGGTATTGAACCATGGCCGCGAGCGTTCAATTTCAATCGCTTACTTGCTCGGCCAAACCAGCTCAATTGGTTGTCTTTTCAAGAGCGAACATGATCATCATGTCTAGAAAGAGATCCGCATCCAGATCAATAGTTCACTCGATGCTGGACTGAGGCGCGATGAGTCGCCCCCGGTCCGCGTCAAGAGAGATGCACTGATGGGGGGTTTACTACGGGCCAGTGTCTTGACAGAAAGGCCCCACTTACCTGTTGATTTACATACTGTCAGAGCTTTTTTTGCCGTTTCAGCCTCTCCAGTGTGGATTTCCTGGGAAATGGAAACAAAACGAATGGGCCTAGATAAGCATGAGATCTCAACATCAATTTCTTATCCGGACATGTCTAAATTAAACGTGATCAATGCTATTAAGGCAAGAACATGGGAATTGATAGAACAAAAGCCAATCGTAGAAGAAGTTGAAATGTTCAAAGCAAACTATGCAAAGCAGTGATCTAATTACAAGTTACTAGCTGGCTTGCCCGGCTCCGCCGGGCCTGCCAGCTAGACCCGTGTACGTATGTTCCGAATAGAATTGGGACCGAACTTTGCACACATACACTTCGGGGCACGGAGCTTGTCACAGTCCACTTTTCGTTATCGATCGATGTCGATTTTACCGATTTTTTGCAAAATTTGAGCTAGGGGGCTAGGATTTTGCACAGGGGGGTAATCGAGCATGCTGATCACCCCCTTCGGGGTGATCAGCATGCTCGATTACCCCCCTCTGCCAAATCCCAGCCCTCTAGCTCGAATTTTGCAAAAAATCAATAAAATCGATATCGATCGATAACGAAAAGTAGCCTATGACACGCTCCCTGCCCCGAAGTATATGTGTGCCAAGTTTGGTCCCGATCGGTTCAGAAATAAAAATTTCTATTCCGCACATACGTACAGACATACATACAGACAGACAGACAGACAGACAGACAGACATTCAGCTTTATATATAAGATTGCAAACTATACCATAATTTCCAACTTCCAAAATCGGTTTTCATCTTACGATCTAGAAGGCAGAAGTGTTTAGGAGATGGCGAGGACAGAAAAGTCTTTTCAGAAGTATTTCACGACTATTTTCGCGATGGCGTTGAAATTTTTGGCCTTACAGCGTGTAGCCTTCAAAAAAGTAGACTTTTCGGGATGTAAGCTGAATCAAAGTTCAAACACGTACAATTGAAGTCAAAGTACTTGTATCTTATCGCGGCTGTAAGCGCGATCTAACGTATACTTTCCCATGAAAGCGCTATCACAACTTCATCTGTTGCAAATTGATGGCAGCCGCAGAAGAGAATATCAACAATATAAAGAGAAGATATGGCAGCATGACGAACGCAACTTCATCCTGATTCTTTCCTTCATGTTAGCTCGACATTTTATGTCTTTTGCTATTTAGTTTTTTCCATTTAGTTCATAGTTATTTTGTTTAGTTAGTTCCCAATCACTCATTTTTTCGAAGTTTTTTTGCAATACTATTTACGTTTATCATTTTGATATTGTGATTCACTGCAGCTCTCTCTGAAACATTGCCAAGGTTTTTTTTACAATTTCATACTTTCTGCGCAAACGATAAAAAGCATTACGAGCTTGCGACATTCTCAAAAAGCGTGAAGATTTTGAAATATAAGAAAAGGTGCAAGGCTCATCAGCGAATTACGTGAGAAAGTCTGCGAACTACACGACAAGGTGAAGGCGATGTGGCGAAGTTTTTGGAAATTCTGGACGAAACAGAAGGAGAAGAGGAGGAAAACCTCTACCGAATTAGAAAACAAGAACTTCGCCTAGAAATTCGTCAGAGTGAACAAGCGGTACATGACTGGAAGATGCTCATCAAAGAGCTAGAAAGTCGGCTTAGGTGTGCTCCAAGAAGAATTCAATCGGAATCTATCAACCGTGTACGAAAGATTTGTAAAATGCACCTTTTGCAGAGCAATACGACGACACTATTCCGACTCATGTCCTGAAGTGCAAGAGGTGGCCACTCGCATACGCATTTAGAACGATCAGAAAAGGTATCAAATTTGTCTTAGAGTGCTGTATCCGGTTGGCAGAGATTGTAGAAAATGGCCCACGTCATGCTATCTTTGAAGAAAGTATGGACACTACTCTACCATTTGCGAGTTCCCCGAAAAAGGTAGGATCCCTTACGGCCGTCAACTCGCGCGCAATGCCATGAGCCGCGACTCCGAAAAACTCAAGCGACTGCAAGATGAGTTAAGCCTCTACCCCGAAGATCAAGGTAGGGCGATAGTATCGCGGCTGTAAGCGTGATCTAGTTTCCCATAAATGCGCTATCACAACTTCATCTGTTGCAGATAGATGGCAGCCGCGAGAAGAGAATATCAACAATATAAAGGGGATATGGCAGCATGGCAAACGCAACTTCATCTTGATCCTTTCTTTCATGTTAGCTTGACGTTTTATGTCTTTGCTATTGAATTTTTTCCATTCAATTCATAGTCATTTTGTTTAGTCAGTATTTTTTCCTGCTTACTCATTTATCAATGCAATGCTCAGACAAATCACGGGAACTTCCCGAGGGGCAAGCTAATTTGCCAAACTTCCCGAGGGTTCCGTTTAGCACGTAAGTGAATGAAGCCGTAAAAATGGAAACTTCCCGAAAATTTTGACGTTAAAAGCAACACAGTTAGGAACTTCCCGAGGAAGTCCTCGGAAAGTTCTGCAGAACTTTCCGAGGATTTAAATTTGAGGGAACTTCCGCAGAGCTGTTTTGCAAGATAGCAAAACAGTTCTGTTCTGTTTTATCATCATAACGATAAGCATTAGTTTGATAAGCTCCAAAGCTCAAGGCGCTTCATTTTTATCTATCGCCGTTTAGAGGATAGGTAACCATTTTAGTGTTGATACCTATCTGCCTCTAATCTATCGATGTCTCGGTTCACTAATTACTTTGGGAATCGCTCATTGATTAGCGCAAGGTCAGCTTATAGCATTTATTGCATTATAAGCTTAGTTTACAGCCAAAAACCAACATTACGCAAATAATGTACATATGTATTAGGTTGATGCAAAAATAATGGCCCTATTACGCTATCCGCTATTACCGTTCCCATCAAGGGAAACTTTTGCCACCAAAGGTATAAACTTTGTTGTTTGTTTTATAACACTAATTTACGTATTTTTTCCAGAAATACAGAACGATTTAGCAGGTCGGCTTCGATAGGAAAGACAAGGCATCGTGACAAAATCGGAATGGAGGAGACAAGCGCTGCACATGAAGAAGATTTGATCTTGCGGTCTTACGCGTCCATCCCATCATTACCATTCTTTTTTGATGCCAAATCACATCATAACTCTTTTCATCATTACTATTATTGCGTCCGCTTAGCGTCAGTACATGATAATACATGTGTCAGTACGATACTCCATCCACGTCATTCAGGTAATGTTGTAATCTAGTTTTGGAAACACGCTAAGAAATTTTCTCACTGCCTTCCACTGCCGATATACTCTATATCTGGTGCTCTAACTTTGCTATAAATGATGAAGGAAACCTGTGTTCTGTGTATTTTTAACCTAGTACTGAAATAAGGGTACGGCTCGAAAGAAGCAGGGTTTACTGTTGAAAATTCTGCATAGCTACGCAAAAGTCCATCTAAACCCCTCGGGAAGTTCTGTAAAAGTCCTTGGAAAGTTTCCGTTTTTAGGGAAGTTCCCGAGAGCTTATTTGCAGAACTTCCCGAGGGCTTTACGGGAACTTTCCCAGGTGACCTGCGGAAAGTTCCCCTATAGCCCTCGGAAAGTTCCCGTAAATTGTCTGAATGGGTTCAATTGCCCAAGTTTAAGGTGTGCTTCACGAGTAGCAAATAAACGTGTCGAGCTGTTGAGTGTTCTGGATTGATGTGGTGTGTAAACATCTTGTTGCTACAGACCAGCTTCGAAATTCGTATGATTTGGGGAGGGGGAGGAGCTCAGACAATTTACAGGAACTTTCCGAGGGCTGTAGGGGAAGTTTTCGCAGGTCACTTCGGAAAGTTCCCGTAAAGCTCTCGGGAACTTCCCCAAAAACGGAAACTTTCCGAAGACTGCAGTCACAGAACTTCCCGAAGGCTTCAGATGGACCTTTGCGTAGCTATACAGAACCTTCAACAGTAAACCCTGCTTCTTTCGAGCCGTACACCCACTTCAGCTACTCAGGTTAAAAATGCGCAAAACACAGATATCCTTCATCATTTATTGTTAGAGCACATATAGAGTATATTGACGAAAGGCACTGAGAAACTCATTTTGGCATGTTTCCAACATTAAATTACAACGGTGCCTGAATGATGCGGATGGAGTACCATACTGAGATATGAAGTAGCATGTACTGACGGAGGCGAGCGCAAATAGTGAGTATGAAAAGAGGCATCATGTGATATGGCATCAAAAAAGAATGATAATTACGGGATGGACGCGTGAGACTGCAAGATCAAATCTCCTTCATGTGCAGCGCTTGTCTCCTCCATTCCGATTTCGTCATGCGTGCCTTGTCTTCTCTACCGAAGCCGATCTGCGTCGTTTTGTATTTCTGGAAAAAATGCATAAATGCGTAAAATAAAGTAAACCAAGTTCATACCTTTGATGGCACAAGTTCCCCTTGGCGCAAACGGTAATAGCGAATGTCTTCGCTGCAAAACTGAATCTAGAGGCAAAAATCAATGTTGTTAGAAAATTTACAGTGCTTCTGCGATGCAGATCCTGATTTGGGAGCAATAAACTGTTTTTAGCTTCAGCAGAAAGTCGAATCTCTTTTCGCGTTCTTCCTCAGATTTGTCCAGGGATATCCAAAAACTGGAATTACTTGAGTAGATAAAAATTGCTTTCGAAACGTCAACGCACCTACTCTGCGAACTTCTTATCGGATCTAATCTGTATCCCTGCAATTCCTCGTTGCCGAATCAAGCGCATCCAAAATAAATTCTAATTCTAATTTAATAATTTAAGTATGGCACGGTGGACCCCAGCGGGTGATCCCGAATTTCAATTTGTCTTCCTTAACACACATCGCATTGAGGTGACACAAGGATGTCTTATACTATAGATAGGTATCGATATTATAACAGTCACCTGTCCTTCGGACGGTGATAGACAGAAATGAAGCACCTTAAGCTTTAGCTTATTAAACTTTAAGTTTATCATTATGATGCAGGTAGTCTTGCTTGCAAAACAAGCAAAACAGGACTGTTTTGCTAGCTTGCAAAACAGCTCTGCGGAAGTTCCCTCAAATTTAAATCCTCGGGAGGTTCTGCATTTTGCAGAACTTTCCGAGGATTTCCTCGGGAAGTTCCTAACTGTGTTGCTTTTGACGTCAAAGTTTTCGTTTTTCCATTCCGAAGTTCCCATTTTTACGGTTTCATTCACTTACGTGCTAAATGAAACCCTCGGGAAGTTTGGCAAATTGGCTTGCCCCTCGGAAAGTTCCCGTGATTTGTCTGAGAGAAAAGAGAGAAGCGCTTTCGTTGTTTCACTAGCCAACACACTGGTAGACAAGGCTGAATGTCTGTTTGTCTGTCTGTCTGACTGTTTGCTTGTCTGTCCGTCTATTTACAAATAAACTTACATGTATGCATGTTTTAAATAGGAACTTTGAACTGATCCGAATCGAATTTGGCTCACATACACTTTGGCGATCTGGGGTTGTAGGAGTTTATGTTACCGATAGACATCGATTTTACCGACGTGGAGGTTGGGGGGAGAAGCATGCTAATTAAAAATACGATACTGTTCGTCGAATTATGGGTTACTTTTGTCACTTCTACCGAATTTTTTACAGTTGAGCTACAGGGTTGGAAGTTGGCACAAGATAAGTGAGCATGCTGATTGCGAAAACCTAGTGGAGGCGGTACAGGCATGAGAGATGCGATCGAGACAGGAAAGTACGTAAAGTAATAAAACTTGGTGATTTCTAATAGTGTATTGATGACAATGCCGGCCAAATTCAAGGATGACAGCCAGTGTGCAATGGTACCAACTGACAAAATCGAAAGGCAGGAGCTACTCCAAGAAGACACCAACAAAAAAAGTACACTTTTACCAAAGCAGCTATATTCCCGCGAAGTAACTCGACTTTGCTTCAAAAATAGGATAGGGCTTCGTAATTATGTCATGCATGTATAAAGGCAAAACTATAACAAAGTCTCTGTAGATTATGAAGATTTCAAGAATGATCGATGCCATTGAGGTGAAACATGGAGCGTCAACAAAGCTGGCAAACTCCAATCATAAAGTAGCAGAGTACTAATGAGAGCATCAGTTGATGTATGTATGGAAAGAAATGGACAAATCTCTAACTGTGTGTAGAGTAAGAAACTTTAGTTCAATGCATACAATGCAATATTTCGATTTATCTCATACTTGATCGTTTTGAACCAACTACCTGATGTGCTATGAAACACCGAACGAATGCATCACAGTGTGCTCTTTTGCATTTCTGCGTGATCTGAGGCTGCGCTTGTGGTTATCTTACCTGCCAAGCCCTTGTATTCTAAGCTGCTTCTTACTTTGCTGCGGCGGAATCTGTTGCTGCATATGATGCGGTTACATTGAATGTGGAGCGCTCGCTGAAGGCTGCTGGCCAGATTGCTGCTGCTGATAAACGAGAAATTGATGGGACTTCCATCCTTGAATTTGTTACTGTTGCGGCATCGATTGCGCCAGTTGTGATGGATCTTTAATAGATGATAAAGGATTGAAGATTGAATAGAACTTTATGTTTTCCTCTCAGGATATGTTATTATATCTGATCTTTTTTGCCATCCTGGAGCTGATAAGTGTTTTCAAGCTATGGTCGTTAGTTGGCAATACTACTTAGCGCAGCCAATATCAACCCTCAGATTCTCAAGAATTCCATGCGATAGCATCCCCTGATGTTGATCACTGATCATCTCCGAGCTAACTTCTTTTGTTTTGATTGGAGTGTCGGTTGGTTTGTTACCATCCTTGGTGTTATTGGTGCACCAACAATGTATGAAGTAAAGATAAAGATATACTTGCCAGGTTGCTGATTTTGATAGTCACCTAGGAAACACTATTAGTAAATTTTAATGAAAAAAGTGATAAATGAAATGATGACGGGACCTGGCATGATTCTCTGATTACATTAACGGTGGTTAAAATTCATATCCGAGCACGAAGCTTGCAATGACGCTATAGTAAATTGTAGACGGCGTTGAAGCAGATGATCCTGGAAATCCTGCCAAACGCCGCAGGCATTTTCGGTAATGCATGACCATATTTAACATCATATACATTGTATCTGCGACACAGTCAAGACTCCTACCCGATATCCTTGCAGCTGAGCGTTTTATTTGCACATTCCTGGACCTTCGTTAGGACGAGATAATTACCACATTTGATGATACCTGTACTGAAGTATCAAGCAATGGTCACAGTAGGAGTGACGAGTATCTGCTCGGCTCGATGCTGCGAGTAAGCCAGAGCTACGCTGCCCGAGGGATCAAGTTCGGTTCTATGCCAAGCTTGATTGAATGAACTAGCAACGGCACCATGTAGGCCGTTGCGCGATACAGACTGAACTTTAGTGATCAAGCTTAAACTGATAAGATTCAAATAGCATAGATCATATCTCAATCATTGATTTTTAGGGGAATAAAGGCTGAAAACAACAATACGATAAAATCAGCGCCTACTCTTTTTTGACGCGATTCTTCTCTATGGTGCCTAACACCTCCACGATTAGAGGATAGTTTAAATGTATTACAGTATAGTGATAGGCAACATGCGGACGCGGATATCCCAGCTAGTATTTGTAAAGGTGATACATATAACTGCAAATTGTGCTATTTTTGAATGCAATTATCGCTGAAGTCAAAGAATTTCAGTGATTTGTCTTGTTTAACGCATAAGAATTGGAACTGCACGTGTACCAAAAGCAAAGACTTTGCTAATGATGGTGGGCGAGTCACTGTTGTTTAACGAAGGACCGTCATCTCAACATTTTTCGAAGAAAAATGTTGAGATGACGGTCGTGCAGCCTCCTTACTGATTTGTTTCTTTTTCCTTGCGACCTGGGACGTCTATAGTGCTGGTTGATGGAGATTCAAGTTCCCCTAGTCGTGAGTGGTCCATAGCTGTTGCCTTTCTCTCAGGAATCTCATCACTGGCCCATCTCTGGCCATAATTCATACAGACTACTTTGAGCGGAAAATTAAAATCCTGAACCTGATATTAACTCTACTCGGGGAATAAATGCAGGATACAACGATCCTCTCTGTCTCCGATTGCTCCTTAGTGACCCAAGTCTTTCGTTTTCAGACAAACAGTTATTCTTCGATAGGTTTCCAATCGCTGAGTGTCTAGGATTGCTTGTAAGATTCGCATAGATAAACTAGCACAGTTCTAACATATAGTGTAATATTCTTGACTTTCAAGAAATCAACGGCACAAGAAATCGAGTGGGGTAGAGTTGTGTTTCAATCGCCTTTACCTTTTGCGAGGCTATAGGAGGTACAAGGTATATCGATCATTTTGGGTACTCAGCAGAAATTAAAATTAGAATAGGGCAACGGGAATACACCGGGTAGGACGTGGATGTATTTTGAGGTATTCCGCGGAGGTATCCAAGGGAAAGAGTGGCACTGTAGATTTCGAGCGGTAAAAGGCAGGCGTTCACTGTCGTGTAAAACGGCCAAATTTCAAGACCTTCGCAGTTGTTTTTGGACCCTACCACAGCCTCAGTGTCTCCTAATGACTTTGCTCATACCTTCTGCGCGATCGTTCCCGACCTTCGTACAATTACTTCTCTTCCGTTCGAAGTCTCACTTTGCATAAAAATCGTCCCAACGCATTGCTATTTGGTGAGGACAATATTTTGTAGGGAAAAAATCTCGTAGTAATCACTTGTCTGTGGCGTGTTTTCCACCGAGCGCATTTTGCCCACAACATTGCTGTTTTGATTTCTCATCTTTGTATGAAGGATCATTTGTTGGTTTCCTATAAATTCATTCTGCTGCGCGAAATGTTGATCTGTTCTGTTAGGTGGACAAGTCCTAGACGTCCACAAATCCAGCGCTCGCATAAGACGAATGATTAATGTGTATGATTCTTGTAAATTGAGTTCGAAGTTTTGAATGAATAATGTGTATTATTTTTGTAAATTGAGTTCAGTTTTGAGTTACAATTGTTTTGTACATGCAGAAAAGTTACTAGCTACTCTTTCCACCCCGTCCTGCACCCTCCCGAATATTACGCGCTCAAGAGCGCTAGAAAGCGCTTTCAAATTATTCGAGTAACCTTCTTATTTAGCAAAATTGGAGATGAATATTTAAGTTCGCGAGAGAGTGTCCCTAATGACAAGACGACAGGACATGACTAAGTAATAGCAAAACAATAGATGGTTTCCCCTTCCTCCCTGCATGAACAAAAAAGAAGTTTCGATTTTTGCATGATGATTTCATCAGAAGGGCAAAAAGTTATGCAGGAACGAAAAATACAAGGTAGTAGAAAGCTGAAACTACCCAAAAGCATTTTCTAAGCTACCGCATCCTAAGTGAACGAGTCGAAAGATTCACAAAACGCTTGACCGCGTTTCAACCTGTTAACTTACTTGCTAGATCGTGCTCAGCCGTCATGTTCAGACATGTTTGGAGTGTGATTGATATTATTGCTTGAGGACTAATTCGGCTGGAAATTTGTGCTATACGGCAATGCGGCAAGCACGGTCCACGCCATTCCTTTTGTTAAAAGAGAAGGCTGAGAAGCGTGGGAATAGAATAAAGAAAGGAACGTGAATCGACACCAAAACACAAATATCAGTTCGGTTTTTCATGTTTTACAAGCATGCTATGAAGTTGTTCAAAGTATTGTAATCAATTGATCACTCATGAACTTTGTCGTTGAGCTATTTTATCTCTAATGCAAAGCTGAAAGTCTGTTTGGGGTTGTATTATGTGTCTGTACTTATACTGCATATAGAGATTTTTATTTCTGAGCCGACCGACCAATTCAATACACTTCGAGGCTTGGGGGTGTTGCAGGCTGCTTTTCGTCACCGATCGATGTAATCGATTTTTTTCGCAAAGTTTTACGTGGCTAAGAGCTGGCACAGAAGGTTGAGAATGCTGATTTTGAGAGGTTTAGCTTTTAGAGTATCGATTATTTTTTAAGATTTTATCAATTTTTGCAAAATTTGTATTACGGGCTCCGAGTTGGCACAGGGGAGGGGAGGGTAAGCAAGCAAGCTGACTACGATAACAAAGTGAACGCAGGTACTGACATATATAGATGGGAGCGCAGGAAATTATACGGAATTAGGGCAAAGATTTCTAATGTATGATCGATTTCCAGATTCGTGTGGAGGTGTATTGCAGACTTTGCCTGATAACACAGGTAAATTCGTTAAACCTCCACGTCAAAGCATTGCTTTTCGTACTCTCTCGCTAGCAAAAACTGCCACGCGGTGAGTTGGCAAGACTCCACCTCCACACGAATCTGGAAGCCGATGATAGTGTATGAACAGCGTGGGCGGATCCGGGTATGCCAGCTATTTAGAGTAACCTGTTATAACCTGTTAATGCCCATGGACGTATGTTTACGCGAGACTGAGTATAGTCTATTCCGATGGGGATTAGGCCGAACCGTCGGTTAATTTTGCGCGCTCGCAGCGCTAGAGGATTGCGCTGCATAGCGCGTTGTTGCAGAGAACAAAAAGATTGACGAGAGAGCGGACTAGCTAGCCGTAAACGTGACACAATATCCTCGGGACACGCATTCCCGCTCTGTCTGGTTGGAATTGGGGCAGACTGTAAAGTTATTCGGAGGTGTCTTCATCGTGGTTCACTTTCAAATTGTAATGGATTCAGATCTGATAAGCAGCCTACATCACTTGCAAAATTCCACGATGAGTGATGCATTCTACTTCACTTATATTTTTAAAATAAGTCAGCATTTAACACTGTGACACGGCTCCCTCGACGATGTTACAGGAAGAAGGGCGAAGGAGTGGAGATTTGAAGTATAAAAAATAGCTAGGTAATTATTACATACATAATTATTAACATTAACATAATTATTACGGCAGGTTGTTCTTACCAATCAAGACTGAGCGGTTAGAAAAATCTTACTTACTTAGATATTTAAATGGCCCGTCCTCACGTGACGTGCGGGCCCAGCACAAGAGTTTCCATCGGTCCCTGTCCCTCGCTTCAGACATCCACGATCTTCTTGGTTGACGTCGGTGGCTGCGTCCACGAGTTCCAGGTGTGAAAATCGTATCCAGCTGATTTCTCAGCTGGTCCATCCGTTCCACGAACACGTCTGCCCATCTCGTCGGTGGTCTTCCTCGGGGACGTTTGGCTTCGCGAGGAATCCACTCAGATGTTCTTAGTGTCCATCTGTCGTCTGTTCTTCTCATGATGTGACCGGCCCATCGGTGTTTCGCTTTCGCAATGTTCCGCTGGGTCACGAAGACGGGACATTCTTCTTAAATCCGTACTGCGAAGTCCGAGTAGATGTTGCTTATGTCGGGTCATCTTCAGAAGACTGCGCTCGAGCCCTCTGTTGGTGTCCGTAGAGCTTTCGACGTGGCCACGGTGTCGGCCCAAGTCTCAGCTGCGTAGCAGAGCGCTGGGAGGACGGAGTCGAACAGGTGGGCACGAAGCTCCGGGTCCGTCAGTTGGTTGGTGGCTTCCTTCAGAGGCCCGAAGGCGGCCCAGGCTGCTCTTTTTCTCCTGTTAAAGGCAGATCAGCAGAAATGAGACCCGTGACAAAACAAGGTCACAGGGTAGAAGCCCCCATATGGAACCTATCGGCCAAAGTCCGATCTTTCTCTGCCACTTCTAACCCCCGAAAGTTCAAAGCGAAAGCAGCGCTCATCTCCTGTCCTCTCCGAACCCGCCCATCCCATGGACGAGTGAACGCGAAGCCCGTCATGGCGAAGACGCAGAGTCGTTGCGGGACCTCATGCTTATAGCATTGCGGCTGGGCGCTCTGACCGCGGAAGTCACTCGTGTGGGCGGGTTCGGAGAGGACAGGAAATGAACGCTGCTTTCGCTTTGAAATTTCGGGGGTTAGCAGTGGCGGAGAAAGATCGGTCTTTGGCCGATAGGTTTCATATGGGGGCTCCTACCCTGTGACCTTGTTTTGTCACGGGTCTCATTCTGCCGATGTACTACCTTTAAGTTCTTCCCTCAAGTCGTTCTCCTCATCGAACATGGAGAACGACTTGAGGAATACGACGTCCGAGATACACGTAAGAAGGCGTCTCCATAATAGGGGTGCCTTCCAATTCCATTTCTGCATCTTCGCAAAGGGCGTTCTTCATGAACTGAGTCTTCCCCATTTATTCGCAATCCGATCTTCTTCCCTACATTGTTTAATTCCTTCGGCATCGTCTCTGCTTCAGTGATAATGCTCGAGAAGAGAACGATGTCGTCCGCAAAACGAAGGTTCGACAGGAATTTCCCATCAATTCGTATGCCTCTCTCGTCCCAGTCTAGTGATTTCATCATCTACTGCAAGACCGCGGTGAACAGCTTCGGCGAGATAGTGTCGCCTTGTCGAACTCCGACTCCGATTGGAATGGTCGGAGGAATGATGGGATAGTTACACCGTTGTTGTACATCCCTTGTAGCAGTCGGCTAGTGTCCTCACGTAAGCTGGGTCCACTCCTTGATCGACTAGCGCGGATGGCGTTGGTTTCGACGCTGTCAAAGGCTTTCTCATAGTCGACAAAGGTTAGGACGAGAGGCAGTCGGTACTCCAGGCAGACTTCTATGACCCTCGAAAACGTCTGGATGTGGTCCAGCGACTCAATCTCTTGCGGAATCCAGCTTATTCTTGGGGTCGAGCTTCCCACTGTTGTGTCCTAGATATGCGAGCGAGGATAATCTTCGTGAAAAACTTGTACAGCACACTCAGCAGGCATATTGGGCGGTAGTTCCGAAGATTCTTCCGTTCACCCTTCTTGAAGAGAAGACGGTTCTTGACGTTCTCCACTGGTCGGGAATCCTTTCCTTCTGAAGGTAAGATGTCGGTGCGAGGCGAGAATCTCGTGTAGACGTTGTCCTCCGGCTCACAGAAATTCGACGGAAAGATGGTCTGGTCTTGGGCCGTGGACGTCTTCATGGTCCGAATCGCCGTGCCACTTCAGCAGGTAGAATTCGTGGTGGTACTTCTTCAGCGGGAAC